ACACTTTTCACCTTAAGGTGAAAGAAACAATTCCATATATGTAAATTTATTTGCACAACAGAGCAAGGCAACTAACTTAACCATTCAACTATGTGAATCAGGAATGCAACTTTTATAAAATTTAACTTGTAGTTTAAAAAATAAGATGGGGGGAGGATAAGAAACTGAAGAAATATGGTTTATGTTAGTATTTATAGCTTGCCAGTATAGTTGGAAGAATTGCTTTCCAATGTGCTTAGCATGACAGCTGGATCTTTCAGTAGCTTATGTATGCATTAGTACCACAAATTCAGAAGTACTATAAATGGAATAGACTATCCAGTTCTCATAATTACGTAGCACAAAAAAATGCCACAATATGTATGCTAGAAGATCAGCTCCAGAGTTACATTTCAAAAAAAAGCTTTCATTTAAATTCAAAGGTGAGATGCCTGCACCTATAGAGAAAAGAAAATCTCCAAGACTAACATGATGAAGGCTAAAAACTGGAAGAAAAAAAGTTAACGGTTTAAACAGTAGTGGAATTGACACAATTAACAACATACACTGTATGAAGAGGTGCTTAGAATTTGAGAACACCCTAGCTAATTAAGAATGACTACAAAAGCACAACTTCTTGGGGTTTTGTTTTGGTTTAGTTTTGGTTTTGGTTTTTGTTCAAAGACATGCTAAGTTTATATTGGAATTCTGTCCAATCTAGATAAAATATCTATTGTGTCTTCAAAAACTGTGTTTTGGATGGGGACTGTGGTATTTTCTAAGCTGAGAGATAGGAGCACTCCAAAACTAAAGTACACTGTGCTCCCAAAAGGGTGAATCCAGTCTTCCACCCTGATAACTCATTACTACCCCATTATTTTGAGTATGACAGAAATGTCAAGGAGTGGAAGCTTTAGCACTAAGCAGGCACAAACAAACAAAAAGTAGCTGAATACAAATTAATAAAGTACACAGAACAATGTAAAAACCCTAGGATATCTATCAGAAAAGTCCTCAGAAAACTAAACGTTCTTGTAGTGTGCAGCTTAGTAAGCATCCTTGTATCCAAAACAGGTTCACATCAGTCAAAGAATAGATATTTTGCTATTGGCTGTGTGCCGTAAAATGGCAAGCTGCAGTAAGACTAATAAAAAATCAGTAATGACATCAATCAAATGTCAGCTAACATGGAAATAAAGACTACAGGCAGAAGTTCATAGCAGGAATAAAAATTACTGTCCCTGAGCTGCTTATTGCCACTGTGCCAGTAGAGGTCACAATGTCCTAAAGCAGAATGCAAACTCTTCAGTTGCTTTGGTGCAGTTTGGCAGCTTGTCTTAATTTGCTGATGGCTTTATGATAAGCCATTAATCTTGACATCAACATGGCTGAGATGCACAAAGCTATTTTGCTCTCCTTGTTCTTCTGCTGCACCAGCAACATGCAAAATGTAGTCAAAATACAACTCCTTGGTGATTCCTGGCAGATCCTCCAGTAACCACCAAGCACTCAGGCCAAAGCTCAAAAACATAGATACTAGACACTCAGCTGTCTCTTGCACTTCAGGTGCCTAAAGCCATTTGATTTCAATGGGAAGTTCACAAACACCCCTGACAACCTGGTGTAAGGAAGCCCAGTTCCTCAACCAGAATCAAGGTTAATTGAGATTACAACAAATGATGACCCAATTTGCTACCACATTCTTATTAAATTAGATCTTGTTTAGTCTAATTCCTCAACACTATCTAATTAAAACTGAGCACTCTGAGCAACAATGATCTAAAGCTGAAGTTCACCCATGCTTATGTCATATTAAAGTGATTCTGGCCATTAGGAGAGCTACCAGGTCCCCTCCTGTTTGCTTGCACAACTGTTTCTATATTCACATGATGAGCCAAATCAAGGAGTTGATTTAGATGAAAACTAATCTGACTAAAGATTATCAGCTTCAGCTAAATCATCTTGTCAATCTACCTCACTGCATAGTTACCTGAAGAATAGTACTGGAAGAAGTGGGGAGACTGAAAGCAAAGTCATCCCCTAAGAATGAGGCAAGGGGGAGAGAGAAAGTTGTCAGGATTATCAAAATTACAGTTAGCACTTTAGAATGTAAAACCAAACTATGACAGGTAACAACAGAAAACCAATTAAAATGAAGCCACATCCCCATGAAAATGAGATCTCAAACACAGTTAATGTGTGAATGTACTCACCATGTGCTAAGAACATTTATAGATGCAGATTTATGTCACACATAAGAAAAGACAATGAACAGAAACTTACAAAATCTATGACAAAACATCCTGGCTAGATACAGACAGACAAAACATTGTGGAAGCACAAAATAATCATTACTTGGATACCAACGTATACTAGATGAGCAAAACAAGTAACTTTTTACAGTATCAAGTAGCAAAAGAGCACGCCAAAAAACCTCCACAGTATTACTGACAAATGAGAAGTAACACAAGAGGTGAAAAAAGAACTAACTGATGAAACTAAGTGGAAAATTGATACATTCTCATATACACAGTATGGCAAGAATCAGGGGAAAATATCAAAACCTAATCAAACAAACAAAAAGCATACACTCAAAACAACCAACCCCCCACACACAGACACACACTATTCAGGCTCCAAACGCCTCAGAGAATAAAAGGCTGCACTATTCTCTCCCACTAGGATGTCAATGTAGTTGTTTTCAGAATACAATAGTAAAGGCCTTCAAAAGCATAATTCTAGAAAAGGCAAGTATCTACTAAATATGCAATAACTCTGCATATATGTATCCAAGTTCAGTGGCGGGGAGGAGAAATTTGGGACAGGTTTTTGAGGGACAGGAGAATGCAAAAAGAGAAGAAACTGGTTGAGCTTTTTTGTTCAGAAGCAAAGCCATTGAAATATGAGGACTGCTCATGGAGTTTCATAGAAAATAATTAGTAAATATTAGCTTTGCTGTATCATACTAAGGTTTCACTCAGTCAGCTCCACTGTACTGTACAAGCAACACTAAAGATATTCTCCTCAGTAAATTAAAAAATCGTCACCTTGCAGGTTAGGGTTACATAAATGACAATTTAAAAGACAATGTGACACACCATTAAGTATTTTGATACTATTTGTAGATACTTAAGGTGTGAGATTTGCTTTCTATTATTGTTCTTGCATGTTATTTAATTATATGGAGGTAGCATCATCCTTTCCAAATGGAGCACAATACTGACATAATTAACAATTCATTTCAATCTCACGAAAGCAATTTTTATAGTGGGATATTTAGAAAAGGCAGTGTGTTTCTGGATAACATCAAGGAAAGTCCCACATCAGGGACAACCTGAAGGACAGCATATAATTCATCTGTGTGAGGAAATGAGGCATGAAAAGACCAGACTGACATTACTGTCAAACAGGAACAGGCAGAGTTATTTTATTATAATAGATATTAAAATGCAAGACAAGCCAAAAATACATACCTTCGTACATCACATAAAGGATCCTGCCTGTGTTACAGGCAGCTTTTCAACTCTGCTTATACTTCACTCAGTACAGGGAAGGCAATATGCTACTGAACAGCAAAAGCTTCCACTGGATTATTGTATTTACATCCCTGGACAATCACAGCAAGTGATTGACTTATGAAAAACTTATCAAGCAGAGTTGAAGCTACCTTTCAGCAATGAGGACAATGCAGAAGCAAAAGTGAAAATTTCACCACAAGGAAAATAATGTTTCCAGAACAGCTGCTCAAGTAGAGAGAAAGCAGATGAAGATGTCAGGAGAAGATCAAGGGCCAGGTTGAAAAGCAATTAGTAAGATAAAGATATGAAATGGGACCTTTTACCCTTTAACAAGGCAATGATCCAGTAAAGACATATTGCTGGAAACATGATCTTTAATTAGGAAAACAGCAAAGAAATTTGCTGCCACACAGGGGAAGTCAACTATGCTGATTGCTGTGAGGTTAAAAACCCAAACCAATATTCATCCTTTGCAATTATATGCACCACACAAAAACTATTTCCTCTGCATTTCCCTGGAGTCAACAGACTGCTTTCATTACAGGAACTATTAGCAAACCAGGTTTTAAAACCCACTATTTAATAAAGTTCAATATTTAAAAAAACAAGGAAACAACAACAAAAAAGAAAACACCCCTCCAAAACTCAGTATCAAAAGTAGCATCAATGCTTACCTAAAAATAATGCCACGTGCCCCCAAAAGACAAAATTAAGGTACTGGGAATATCTGCTCTGAACACTGATGACAGGCATAAACTAGAAGAGCATTTAAACCAGCAGAATAAGCAAACTGAGAGGGAGCTGCAGCTGGTTCTCCAATTACTAGATATTGTTTAAAAATGCATATTCAACTCAAAATCCCTCAGAACATTTGTACTCTCAAAGATGACTTACATAGTAGTTGAAAGATCTTTAAACTGTCAGATGTAAGTTGTTCAAGTAGCTGCAAATAAATACTTCAAGGAACAAGAAGGAAGACAAAAAATGACAAACCAAAACTCAGGGAAGTATTAACGTAGTATCTTCTACAGTATTTCCTAAGGACTATAAAAGTAATCTCTTCTGAAAGCCCAGACATATACAGTATGCTCAAACAGCCCTGTTATCAGCCTGTGGTAACTGTTCAGGAGTGAATATTCTCTTACAATGAATACAAAATCACTGAATGATTGGTGTTATTAATGTTAACACACAGGGAATCTTGCAAAATCAGCTGCAGGCGAAAAGAAGACGAAGTATAACTCAGTGTTGGTGAGGGCCATATCAGAAACTCAGAAATGTTTATACACGTACACAGTTATTCTATTCTATGCATTTAAAAAAAAAATAAGAATAAGAATACAGTATCTATTTTTATCTTGCCTATACGTTTTACATAGCAAAAAGTAAAAAAGAGCTGCTACTGAAAGACAGAAAACAAAATGAGTTAAGAGGAAAGCACTAAAAAAGCTGTATGTAAGCATGATCGCCAGCAGTGTTTCACAGTAATATTTTAAGAAATACCTGAGTAGATAAACAGCCCTTTCAATATCACTGAGTTCTTCATCAACTGTCAATCTTTCTATTTCTTCTGGTGTCTGTCAAGCATGAAATAGAGATTATGAGTTTACAGTGCCTTACTATTTCATCATTTTAATCTTCTTAAAACAACCCCTTCTTCCCAGCATATCCAGGGACGGTTCCATGAGTAATTTGAATTTAATCCCTTAAATCTCTAGGCAATATTTCAAATTCTATCAAATAAATCTTTCACCAGGAAAAGCTGGAATGTAATACAAGTACAGTTCCATGTCAGACACTATCACTACTAATCACTTAAAGTACAAACAAGTCACATATAGATTAATCTAAAGACCGAAGTATATTTTTCTCTTAATATTCTTATACTGACAATATTAAGCCCCTGATATATAGAATTCAAGACTGTTTATTCCAAAATGACTGAAAACAGTTTTTAGTATACTGATGCTGTAAAAAATAAACTGCCTATTCAGTTAGCCATCCATAAATAAATCAGGCACAATTTCAAATGGATTTTAAATCATCCTTGTATTTTGAAGTGTATACCTTCAGGCTCCTTCGAACTGGCCTCTCTATAATAGTTAGTTCCTGCAGGTCTTCTATGTATCCAAACAAATTGCTCTGACTAAAATCCATTTTGGAGAAGATTATTATTGGATGCATGTAGCAACTAAAGCCTTCGGCAAGCGATGCTTTCCCCGAGTCTCTCTCACATAGCACTGAAGGAAGCAGCCCAGGCACCGCGCAGCGCCTCTCCGAGCGCGCCCGCCGCTCGCCTCAGCGCACACACTGCGGCAGCGGCCGCCGCTCGCCCCCGCCGAGCCTCTGGACGGGAAACTTTCTCCTCTTGCCCTGGGCGGGCAAGGATCGGAGCCGGCGCCGGAGCCCGGTGCAGCCGATAGTACCTCGGAGGAGGGGAGTTTGGAGACGAGTTTCCCTTCTTTACTGGCCACTCCTGCCCGCGGGGGCGATGGGGTAGGCTGCACCGTGGGTGGGGATGGCGAAGCCTCTCCGCGCACCGCCCGGGCTGCAGGGCTCGCTCCTCACCGACGGGGCAGGGCAGGGCGCGGTGCCCGGGTGCCGCCTCTGCCCCCAAAGCCCGGAGGAGGGACGTCCCTGCGGTGCAGTGACGCTCCCCGCCCCCGTCCCGCGACGCAGCCCCCCAGCCGCTCTCCCCGGCAGCGCGGGCCGAGGGCCGCGGCACCAGGGGCCGGAGCAGCCCCGCACGACGCCGGCCCCCGCGGTGGGGCCGCCTCCGCCCCGTCGAGCCGGTCGCCGGGGCAACGCGGCTCTAAGGCGGCACCCGCGGGGCGAAACAGCTCCGCGCGCGGCAGTACACGAACGCGCGGAGGGCGCCGCCCCTTCAGCGGCCGCTACCCGCCCGTGGGGCCTTGCCCCCGGCCTCCGGCCGCAGCGGAGCCTGACATGCCGGGCTCCCCCGCTGCAGCTGCAGCCTCCCTGGAGCTCCTCGTCCACTCCTGTAACGTCCCTTTCCAGCTGTGCCGGGACTCCCCACCGGTGTCCTGCCCCACTGTCACAGCTATTTCAAGGCAGAATTACACAGAAGAAAGCTATAAAAATGCTGACTTTGATGAAAAGTCCAAAGCAGGTTCCTGCCCCAGTGCTTTTATATATTAATCTAAAAAAAAAAAAAAATCCACAAAAAAAAAAAAACAACAACAAAAAACCACAGGAAAACATTTGACGTCCTTGGCAGTGAGTTGTGAATCTGCACCAAAGGCACCACTCTGTTTTTTCCTAACTTCTTCACCTTTAAAGTCCTTTCCCCACCTCAGGTTACGCACCACTCATACAGCAGGACAGATTTAGCCATGGATATTCTCCCCAATCCATGAAGTTAGGTATTGTATGCTGTAGGATTACTCCTCTGGCTCACAAATACAGACTACATTGCAGGTACAAGGGAAAGTATTTACTTAAAAATAAAGATATACTGCTTTTACCCCCACTTGGTGTTCAAATAAGCATGAAAACACCTTTTTTTTTTTTTATTATTTAGTAAGACCTTTTTTTGGGGGGAGGGGTTAGTGTTGCAAAATGGATGCAGGTCAAGAATCAACACACAAAGTTGCACATAGGATTTACTGAGTTAATTAATTCTCCAAGCCTCAAGACAGTGGCTTTTGCAGTAATTCAGAGTAGCCCTCAAGTAGGACTTGAGGGTGTTGGTTGATGAGAAACTGAATATGAGCCAGCAGTGTGAGCTCACAGACCAGAAGGTTGAAGGAGGTGGTCCTGCCCCTCTACTCTGCTCTCATGAGACTTCAGTTGGAGTACTGTATACACTTCTGGTGTCCTCAACATAAAAAGGACATGGAACTGTTGGAACAAGTCCAGAGGAAGGCCACAAGGATGACCAGAGGACTGGAGCACCTCCTGTGTGAAGACAGGCTGAGAAAGTTGGGACTGTTCAGCCTGAAGAAGAGAAGGCTGCATACAGGGGTACCAGAGAGGGACTCTTCATCAGGGATGGTAGCGATAGGACAAGAGGGAATGGGTTCGAACTTAGAGTGAGGAAGTGCATGTTAGATATAAGGAGAAAGTTCTTTACTGTGAGGGTGGTGAGGCTCTGGAACAGACTGCCCAGAGGAGTGGTAAATGTTCCATCCCTGGCAGTGTTCAAGGCCAGGCTGGAAGAGTCTTGGGTAACATGATCTAGGATGAAGCATGCCTGCCCATGGCAAGGGGGTTGGAACTAAATGATCTTAAGGTCCTTTCCAACCCTAACTATTCTGTGATTCTATTTTGTGATTCTATGGTTGTATGGAACACAACTAAACAATCAACACTCACACCAGGACTTAAAAAGCCTGTAAATATTTCACAAAGGCTTGTTTGAGCAGCAGCAACGTTTCATTATTACTGTAAAATGCCCATATGACCAATAAGTTTTGTTGATAAAGTATAAAAATAATTCTAAAAAATGTAAGGATTAGATAATACTATGCCATATATTGCCCAGAATTTTATTATCTTCTATTTTATAATTGGCAAGTACCTCAGCTTTTAGTTAGCAAAACAGTAAGTGTAGTCTTTGTATCTCTGTCTACCCATTAGGCCAAATCCTGTCTCAGTTAAACCAGTAAAACAGTAAAAACTAAAGCATCTCCATTAATTTCAAATGTACAACAGAATTACTAGCAGAAGAATCTAATCCAAAGTACATATAAATAATTAAACTGCTATGTAACAGACAACCAAAACATTTGGAACTTTTAAAGCATGATGACATATTAAAAAGAGAAATGCTATTTTGAACATCTCCTTTGCATTATCCTTTTAACCAGGAGACATCATCAGACAGCAAATATAATAATTATAACTGAACTAGGTCTTCTCAGAGTAGTTAGTTAACCAGCTTCACAAGAGAAAAAAAAGAAAATACAGATTTATAGAATGTTCTCTTCTCAAAATTCAGAATCCTGACATGCAGGCTTCTGCCAATGATTAAGTATGAGGGAAACATAGAATCATAGAATAAATCTCAATCACAGTTAGTTAGGAAAATCCTTTTGCAAGTTCTTTCACAGCCAATTTGTGGTCATTTCATCTTGCAAAAAGTTCTCATGAATCTTAAAGATCTTATGAGACTAAGAACACTTTTTTATGTGCCTTGAATTAGAAACTCATTGCAGTTTTCAAATCAGGTATTCCATAGCTTGGTTCTAAAGACTGAAAGTGAGTTTAGATGTACAATTAAGCTGATATATTATATTATGTTTTACATAAATTTTGTAAGTCACTAAAGAAGAGGGGTTTTTACAAACATTTAAACAGCTCCCTTAATGCCTTTAATAACCTGTCCTTATAACTCAGTCTGGGAAAACACTGTGCATTCATGACTGTCATTGATTTTGAAATCAGTAGACCTGTCAAAGAGACCTACCTATATCGTGAAAATGTGAAAAGCAGAATAAAAAGAAAACTTTTCTTTTTTTTTTTTTCCTGTAAATTGAATACTGGGCCAGAATAAATATCACAGCAGGAATTAGCTTGCCCGGGTTCAATATAAACATATCCCCTTCTGGTCCACACATTTGCCAGGGAAAAAAAAAAACAAAAACAACCAAAACCACAAAAAACACCAACCCACAACAAAAAACTAAACCAACAAACCAAAAATCTGCATATTTTGTTCCAAACCCACATATATAAAAATTAATCTCCTCTGACAATAAATCTGTGGGCATATTCACTCCAAGTGGTCTGTCATTCTCATTTGTGGTGAAGGTCACGTATGACTTCCCCTCACTGCTACTGATTTCAGATCCTCCCTTTTCCACTCTTCTCCTAAATAAAGCTCTGCTTGCAGCTTCATTCTAACCTTGGCATAGGTATCTTAATTGTAATAGACTGTAGAAATATTTCACACTGCTTTGTGAAAAACAGAATGAATTGGAACCTCCATTTTAACACGGGAGCTTGTGAAGTCTTGTGAAGCCAAAAACAGAGCTGATTTTAAATAATCCTCCCTTGATGGAGACAACTGCAGACCACCTGAGAAAATGGCACTTATACCTAGTGGAAGAAATAGTGCTATTCATGCCTTCTAAAGCAATAAACTCTAAATGCAATATAGATGAAGATCAAAACCAAAAAAGGGCAAAAGGACCTGAAGGATTCTTCAGGTACCTGAAGTGTACCTGAAGGATTCTCCAGATACACTGACTGGGCTAACTTGACCAAGGACTCTTGGGTGAAGGGATTTGTCATGTGGCAGAGATGCACAGCTCTCCTTTGCTACTCAGCAGTTAGGTGTCTGCCTTCTCTGAAAAGGCTGTGATTCTTACTTTACCTATTACATGTTCTCAAAGAATTAAGCTGTAAATCAAATTGCTCACAGAGAAGTTGAAATTGTAAGAAGTGTCAGAATGTCTTAGAATGCCTGAATCAGCTTAAATATAAAGGGACTGGTTTGGAGGGTTTAGAAGGACACGCCAAAAAATGCTTTCAGGCAAAATGTGTGCACTCCAGATTAAAAGCCAGAATTTCTTATTCAATGGCCAAACCAAAAAAAAAACGGACGAAAAATCCAGGAGAATATTTGTTTATTATGTTGGAAGGGTAAAACAAACAAACAAAACAACCCCAATACATTTTGGTTCAACTTCTAAGCAATACCTTTTTCATGTTTTATTGTGTTTTTTTTTTGTTTGGTTGGGAGTTTTTATGGTTTTCTTAAATTATTATTACTTGGACTCCTGAAGAATTTCCATAAAGGTCAAAATTAAATTACACAATTCATTCTTCATTTCCTTTTTTTCTATCAATTTAATACTCCACAAAAAATAAATAGCCTTTCATAATGTACACTGTGTAGATCGTGAACTCTGTAATCACAGTTTCTGCTCAGGACTTAGCAACTAAACTGTGCAGAAGTTCAATTCAGTCTGTTCACCACCACTGAGAGATGGCCAGAGCTGTATCAACTGTCGCTCACCATCCAAATGAGCAGACCCTGCCCATTAAACCCTTAAAAAACCCCACAGCTTTAATGTTCCATCTAATGCCTTACAAAACAAGATTTTTTATTTCATTTCCATTCATACTCACAGGTATAAAAGTTTGCACAAACAGTGGTTCTGCAGAAAAACTCCACATTGAGACAAACCTGTAAATATTAATCTAAACAAAACACACAAAAATCAGGGTCTACTTCAGAACAATGCTTGGAACATAGCATACACAACCTCAGCAAGAAAAAAGTATTAGTTATTTGTTGCTAAGAAACTGTTGCTTCATTCTACTTTGCCATTTGCAGAAAATGTCTGATTGTTCTTTTGCCACTTTGGTCATCTTGCTCTAATAGCTATATAATTAAAAGGGTTATAAAGGAAAAAAACCCTGGAGTGTACTCACTGTGCCTTCATCATATGTAGCCTGGTCTCCCATACTCTCTCATCTCTCATATTCTCTCATGTAACTTAGTACCCTCCAATACAATCTAAAAAC